ACAGGTGTTGACACATACGTATACCGCCACAGACAGGCTTCAGTCATTACTGGGATTACCGTGTACAGGTGTTGACACATACGTATACCGCCACAGACAGGCTTCAGTCATTACTGGGATTACCGTGTACAGGTGTTGACACATACGTATACCGCCACAGACAGGCTTCAGTCATTACTGGGATTACCGTGTACAGGTGTTGACACATACGTATACCGCCACAGACAGGCTTCAGTCATTACTGGGATTACCGTGTACAGGTGTTGACACATACGTATACCGCCACAGACAGGCTTCAGTCATTACTGGGATTACCGTGTACAGGTGTTGACACATACGTATACCGCCACAGACAGGCTTCAGTCATTACTGGGATTACCGTGTACAGGTGTTGACACATACGTATACCGCCACAGACAGGCTTCAGTCATTACTGGGATTACCGTGTACAGGTGTTGACACATACGTATACCGCCACAGACAGGCTTCAGTCATTACTGGGATTACCGTGTACAGGTGTTGACACATACGTATACCGCCACAGACAGGCTTCAGTCATTACTGGGATTACCGTGTACAGGTGTTGACACATACGTATACCGCCACAGACAGGCTTCAGTCATTACTGGGATTACCGTGTACAGGTGTTGACACATACGTATACCGCCACAGACAGGCTTCAGTCATTACTGGGATTACCGTGTACAGGTGTTGACACATACGTATACCGCCACAGACAGGCTTCAGTCATTACTGGGATTACCGTGTACAGGTGTTGACACATACGTATACCGCCACAGACAGGCTTCAGTCATTACTGGGATTACCGTGTACAGGTGTTGACACATACGTATACCGCCACAGACAGGCTTCAGTCATTACTGGGATTACCGTGTACAGGTGTTGACACATACGTATACCGCCACAGACAGGCTTCAGTCATTACTGGGATTACCGTGTACAGGTGTTGACACATACGTATACCGCCACAGACAGGCTTCAGTCATTACTGGGATTACCGTGTACAGGTGTTGACACATACGTATACCGCCACAGACAGGCTTCAGTCATTACTGGGATTACCGTGTACAGGTGTTGACACATACGTATACCGCCACAGACAGGCTTCAGTCATTACTGGGATTACCGTGTACAGGTGTTGACACATACGTATACCGCCACAGACAGGCTTCAGTCATTACTGGGATTACCGTGTACAGGTGTTGACACATACGTATACCGCCACAGACAGGCTTCAGTCATTACTGGGATTACCGTGTACAGGTGTTGACACATACGTATACCGCCACAGACAGGCTTCAGTCATTACTGGGATTACCGTGTACAGGTGTTGACACATACGTATACCGCCACAGACAGGCTTCAGTCATTACTGGGATTACCGTGTACAGGTGTTGACACATACGTATACCGCCACAGACAGGCTTCAGTCATTACTGGGATTACCGTGTACAGGTGTTGACACATACGTATACCGCCACAGACAGGCTTCAGTCATTACTGGGATTACCGTGTACAGGTGTTGACACATACCGCCACAGATAGGCTTCAGTCATTACTGGGATTACCGTGTACAGGTGAAAAGTCACATACGTATACCGCCACAGACAGGCTTCAGTCATTACTGGGATTACTGTGTACAGGTGAAAAGTCACAATACACTGTTTGGTTATACACTGTGTAAGTGACAATGTAATGGAAACATTTCACCAACCTCTTGTTTACAGTCTTTGATAGCGGGGAAATATTTAGTTACTGGTTAAAACTTTCCTTTGCCATTTTTTAAATTTATTTTCAAATCAGTGCTGACAAAAAATTTCGGCACTACAATCATGTATACATACATACAACATATTTTTCAAAACGACTTAGTGTAAATTAACAGATTTTAATGGTATTCTAATTTTAGTGCCTGTTGCACTTTAAAACTTGAGCTGATTTAATATTGCACTAATGAGAGTTCTTTTATAAAGTTTTCTACACCATATATTATCTGTGCTCTAATTCATCAAAGCAATAAACTGATAAATTCACCAATCAAAGAGGACTAATGGGCCTGAATCGCTCACCTGGTATTAATCGCACACCAGTAACCCTATAGCTAGCCATTTTGGTTATTCAGAAGAAGATTAGTTGTTATTTATTTCAAATATATTTGACCCCTGTGACCCGTACGCGCTCGCTGTTTTCAACTTTTAGCGTATCATTTGCATAGCATATCCGTAGCGTTTGCATAGCACTTGCATGCATTTCCGTAGTGCTTCCGTACGGTACCATTTCTTGAGCAGCTTGCGTAGTTTTTCAGTAGCATTTCTGTATCATTTCTTTAGCACTTGTGTCTACAACTTTCCATTCAAAAAGAATTTGTGAAATGTTTGGTTGAACATTTTCTGGAATATATATTTGTCGTAACAAACTGTTGATGAAAAAGTAATTATAAAACGCATTAAATGAGAAGTATACCAATTCTCATAAAGGTCAGAAGAACAAAACAAAAGTGTTGGGTACTACATGTGAGATTGTGATTTTGAGGGAGTACAAAGTGGAATATAGAAATTAAATACAGGTAAAATCAATAAATCACAGGAAATCCCACATCACATTTCTTGTCCGTACATTCGAAATGGCGGACCTTCTAGGTAGACGGCTGTCAGTGGAAGCGAAATTAAAGATGATGTGGATTGTCAATGAGCAGCAAATTTAGCGGCCAGATTAAAAAATCCTCAATATTTCAATACACATTGTGGGAACATTTATTTATTTGTTTTAGATGTTTTTATGTTTCTGTTTTTTTTTCTAAACCTGTTCTTGTCACCACAAACCATTTGATCGTTTGTAAGCGTCATGCATCCGTAGCACTTCCGTACTGTCTCCGCAGCACTTGTGTACCGTTTCTTAAACATTTCAGTAACATTTATATACAACTTGCATAATGTTTGTGTAGAATTTCTATAGCAACTTACGTAATAATAATAATAGTCTTTATTCAATGCGTAGCATTTCAGTAGCGTTTGCGGCCAAGATGGAACAACAAACGTGTACGGGTCTGTAGTTCACTATAGTCTATTTATATCACATACAAAGCATATCAAATCATGCTAAATAAACAACCCGACACTTATAAAGTCATCGAAAACACAACTCACTGTGTTAATTAGTCGTACAAAGCATTTAAAAACAAGTAGCTTTACTGTCCCTTGGGCAGCTCTAATTGACACCTGTCCAGATCGCTTCTGTGCGACTGTCATATAATTACATAGAAGTGAGAGGGAGATAAGCTGGGGAATCAGAATCAGTTTGCAATACCCAGAAAACAGCAATAAGCGTGTTTGTACTAAACGTGTTTCATTGTATACTTATAATAACAGGTTATAAAACTAATGGCATCCTCATGAATTTCCATACAGGAAACACTGGCTGGATACGCCTGGATACGCCATGGAGTTATGGACCATAGCAAAACATATTCAAGATTTAAGTATGTACCAAGTGCATTTTTTGTCTATCTAATCTTTGTGAATGATCTAATCTTAATATCCACACAAGCCTTTTACTTGGGGCAATGAATACATTTTAGGTTTATCTTGATATACAAACTCAACTTCCTATCTGGGGGCCATGAATAAAAGTTAGGATATAAACAAAGCAATTCAGATATGCCTAGCCAGAGGGTATTGATAGTGTTTATCATGTCTATCCACTGTGGTAACAAGTCTAGGTTATAATTATGGTATGAATGCCAAGAATCTAGGTTTTACCTCTTTAGAAAGTTTATATTACTGATGGCTTTGATGCAACAAAGGGTGTCCTTAGCTTTGTAGTAAGATGTATGTTGCTATTTATCATTAAAATGTTAGAATTTGACAGTACATTTGGATGTATTTTTATATTAAGGATCCCTATTCCTTTGCATGCAAAAAACACTACAAAACTCAATTGCATATTTTGTTTTGTTTTACAGTTACCTCCCCTTAATTTTGTTTTGGACATTACATCTTCAGTGCAATAATGGTCCAGGACACTTCCGTTGATCAGGTACGTAGCTCAGTTGTTTAGACCAATAGCATAACAACCTGAGATCCAGGGTTTGAACCCTGGTAAAGCTGTACTTAACTAGTACACTCAGAACACTCTTATTGATTATTGTTTTGTTTATGTCATTCTCATCTTCTTTTTCTTTCTCGTAAATGTTCAAAAAGTATAATTTTTGAAAGAAATCATTTATCGAAGCTAATAGTATACAGTCATGCCAGAAGAATCAGCTTCAAATGTATTGTTACAGTTTGGCCAATGGTGCTGTTTAAATTTGATCTAACCTTTGTTGTAAGTTTAACAATGGCATCAAAGTCACCACATTTTAGCCTCCCCAATGTGATGCCATTTATATATCGAACAGTAATGTCCATCTACCTATAATTATATAAGCTTTGGTGATGGTATAAATGGCACAGACTTTTGGCCTTACCTCTGTAATAAGCATTGAAAGTGGCATCGATGCCACCAACCTTGGCCTTACCTCTGTAATAAGCCTTGGAAGTGGCATCGATGCCACCAAACTTTGGTCTTACCTCTGGAATAAGCCTTGGTAATGGCATTGATGCCACCAATCTTTGGCCTTACCACTTTAATAAGCCTTGGAAGTGGCATCAATACCACCAAACATGGCCTTACCTCTGTAATAAGCCTTGGAGGTGGCATCAATACCACCAAACATGGCCTTACCTCTGTAATAAGCCTTGGAAGTGGCATGAATGCCACCAAATTTTGGCCTTACCTCTGTAATAAGCCTTGGAAATGACATCAATGCCACCAAACTTTGGCCTTACCTCTGTAATAAGCCTTGGTAATGGCATCAATGCCACTAAACATGGCCTTACCTCTGTAATAAGCCTTGGTAATGACATCAATGCCACTAAACATGGCCTTACCTCTGTAATAAGCCTTGGTAATGGCTTCAATGTCACCAAACATGGCCTTACCTCTATAATAAGCCTTGGTAATGGCATCAAACTCCTCCTGTCCAGCAGTATCCCACAACATCAATCTCACATCCTCATTGTTTACTCTGTAATACATAAAACAATATTATTTGTAAATTAGTATGAGATGTTGGGTGCTTGTGTACTTATCTCACAGTGCTCCAACTTGTAAACCTGTAATGATATGGTCTCCATCTTATGAAAACATCTTACATACCTGCCAATTTTTTTAAATTTCCATGGGGGAGATTATGCGTGCTTAGAATTTTAAACATAACTATAGTATGTATGTATGTACACCCTAGGAAAAAATAACATTTATAAATGGCATCTTTTTGAGCTATTTTTCATATGAAGTCATTAGATCTAAGAAATTATAGGAATAAAAATAGGAATAGTTTAGCAAGTTCACCGGTTGAAAATGCTCAATTTCAGGGTTCAAAATCGGGAGTCTCACTCGAAAATAGGGAGAGTTGGCAAGTATGATCTTAGCTTATCATGATAAGATTACTTTTATGCCTATTAGCTTGTCTCTTGCTATATAGCCAACTTTATCATTATATTTATTAATCAGATTTTCCCGGCAATACAATCCAGTTTACTGGCATTTTACCCTGATACTGTATACAATGTAGATGGGGTCCATGGACTCACAATAACCGTATATACTGGCATTTTACCCTGATACTGTATACAATGTAGATGGGGTCCATGGAGTCACAATAACTGTATGTACTGGCATTTTACCCTGATAGTGTATACAATGTAGATGGGGTCCATGGAGTCACAATAACTGTATGTACTGGCATTTTACCCTGATAGTGTATACAATGGAGATGGGGTCCATGGACTCACAATAACCGTATATACTGGCATTTTACCCTGATACTGTATACAATGTAGATGGGGTCCATGGACTCACAATAACTGTATATACTCACTCTAACTGTCGCTCCAGGAAGTCCACTCCGATGGTCTTCTTGTATTCCTTGGTGAAGATTCCTTTACAGTAGCGCTGGATCATGCTGGACTTGCCCACCGCCCCGTTACCTACAATGACGACCTTGATGGCCGTCTCCATATCCTCTTCCCGCATGGTTACAATTTACAGGTCACACAGCTCAAAGTTACGCAAGAAATGGTTGCACAGGTCGAGGTCGCACATATTAGTTTTGTATAAAATACACTATATAATCAGTACAACACAGAATACCTAGTCAATATCACATGACACGATATTGGTTTTCACATCCTTCTGATGCTAATGGTCCACGCTAAATCCTGTGATATAGGTTCTGGGCGTACATCACGTTGATACGTTATAGGTAAGGTACAGGTCTCCTCCGGCTCCATCACATTGATGTATCGGTACTGTACATCTGGAAACAGAAACAAGAACCTTATAACCCACAGGACATAGCTGGGCATTCAACCGTATCATACCCCAATACACACACAATATCCTCAATAATCTCTTACATCTTAGACATTAGCGCACTCAAACATAATTAGTATTCATATCAGGATGATTAAAGATTTAAATAATTTCATTAAAATATCATAAATATGACAAATTGATGTAAATTCAAAGGCAGTGATCAAAGGATTTGATAACATCAATTAACTACCCAGTTACTCAAAATAGACATCCAACCAGCACCCACAGAAAACAATCGAGAAAGAAAACAAACTAGGTAGAGCATGATCCTCCCAACAAAAGCCGGATAGTTCCACAGATAGTCCCATTAACATCCTAAGGACATCAGAGAGATTGCAGCTTTTTATGGCTGGGAGGTTTGCTGCATGACAGCGTTTTACCTCCCATTAAACTTGACTGAAGGCTATGTATATAATAGAGATGTAAACTCTTCAGAAAATCATACAGCCTTTAGTTGTTATCAGAACAGACCAGGAATCTCGAATATGTCTTCCTTACCTGGGTGTGGAAACAACTAAAACATTTTAGAGTCATTTTCTATCTGTTTCTTCCTCCTCTTCATTTATTGCGGAGTAAAGTATCTTGCTCAAAGATACACCACAGTGCCGTGACGTGACTCGAACCCACGACTCTTTGGTCACAAGCCTGGCGTCCTACCACTAGACTTCCGTGCCCGGCCTCCTACCACTAGACTACCGTGCCCAGCGTCCTACCACTAGACTACCGTGCCCGGCGCCCTACCACTAGACTACCGTGCCCGGCGTCCTACCACTAGACTACNCCTACCACTAGACTACCATGCCCGGCCTCCTACCACTAGACTACCCTGCCAGGCGTCCTACCACTAGACTACCGTGCCCGGCGCCCTACCA